CTTCCTTCCTTCCTTCCTTCCTTCCTTCCTTCCTTCCTTCCTTCTCTCCCTCTTTTTTTATCATTTCCTTCCTTCTTTCCTCCCCTTCTCCCTCCCTTTCTCCCTCTCTCCCTTTTCTCATTTCCTCCTTTCTTCCTCTTCCCTCTTCTTTTACTTTCTCCCTCTCCCTTCCTTTCCATAATAAAATAACACCTCTCCTTCCTTCCTTCCTTCCTCCCTCCCTCCCTTTTCATCTAGTTGCTTGGAAAGTGCAGAGATTCAAGGCCAGCGGAGGTCCAGGGGGCCAAAGATTCAGCCCTGGACTTGGCCGTATTTGGCTTTCAAGAAAGGCTGCCTGGCACGGAGGGAAGTTTCTGCTCCACTAACACCGAAAAAAGAGAGTTGGGTGGCTGTGATTTGGCCGTGACGTCAGCCAAAGGAAAGAGTTTGAGGGTGTTTCTGCTCTTTGCCAAACACGGGCAGCAGCCTCCGATTCAGAGAGGATGCTGGGTTTATGGGTGGCCTCAAATAAACTCAGCTCCAGCCCCCCCCTCCTCCTTCCTTCCTTCTTTCCTTCCTTCCTTTTTTAAAATTTCCTTTCCATCACTCTTTCCCACTCTTTCTTCTTCTTCTTCCTCCCTCCCTCTCCCTCCATCTTTTCTCTCCCTCCCTTTCTTTCCATTCTCCCCCCTTTCTTCTCTCCCCTTCCTCCCTTTCCTCCCCCTTTCTTCCTCTTTCCTTTTCCTCCTTCCCTCCCTCTCCTCCCACCTTTTACCCCTTTCTTCTTCCCTTCCTTCCTCTTCCTCCTCCCTCCCTCCAAGCAACCCAAGCTCCTTGGTTTCCCTAACCTAGTTCCAACCTCTCCCCCCTTCCTTATTACAGAGATGCCACCATACTCCTTGCAGGAGACACCCCCCCCCCGCCCTCTTCCAGACAAATATAGCATTTCGGCCAGCCCTTCCCTGCAGGAGCGGCCTCTCTCGGGAGCCCCCTTTGGGCGACTGGACAATTAAGAAGGGACGTGGGAGGCTTTGAGCTCTCCAGAAGGACTCCGGTGTGATAAAAAACCCACTTTTGAGACCCTGCCTTACGGGGAGAGGCTAATTTCCAAGGCTTTCCTTTGCCCCACCTTCCAAGCTGGGTAACCGGCCTCTCCGTTTGCCCAGTGCCAATTGGTGTGTGTGTGGGGGGGGCACCGCTTGGTAGGAGAAGAAGCAAAGCCCTGGCCTTATTTAGGGGCAATTTGTGTGGGGGGTTGGATGCTTCTCACACCCCACAGGTGGTGCAAACGGTGCCCGGTCTTCAGTGCTGCGCGAGGTGCCTGTTTTACAGTCGCCTCATGAAAAATGAAGAGGCCGGGCTGGATTTTGGCAAGTGAGAATGACTTAACCCGGTGTAAAAGCAATGAATATTTGATGCTGGAGTTTATTGAATTTCTACAAGCATCAAGCTTCAACACAACACTGAGTACATAGATTTTCCCTAGCTGGAAAAATAGGTGGAGGGAGGGTAGATTCACCCTCGACTTACGACCACAATGGAACCCCCCCAAATTCCTGTTGCTAAGTGAGACATTCGCGAAGGGACTTTGGTAAATCACTTTGGACCATTTTGAGGCATCCTTGAAGAACGCTTGACTCATATTTATGACGGTCTCGATGTTCCCAGGATCACATGACCCCCTTCTGACAAGCAAAGTCCGTGGGGGAACCCGGGCTCACTCAACTTCTGTGATTCACTTAACAACCATGGACAGTAAGGTCGCAAAATGGGGCAAAACTCACAACAACTCTCTGACTTAGCAACCTAAGTGGTTGTTAAGTCAAGGACTACCATCCACGCCAGTTGCCAGCCCCCACAGTATGTTGATCGCACGACCACGGGGGATGCTCCAATGGTTGTAAGTGCAAGGACCGGCTGTAAATGGGAGGACCAGTTGCAAATCACTTTTTCAATGCTGCTGTAACTTTGAACCACCGTTAAAAGAATCATCGTAAGTCAAGGACTGCCCATGATAACCTGAGATCAGGTTCACAACCTTCTGTAAGTTTTTAATCACTTTGGGACATTTCAAAGGCTTAATTCCCCCCCCCCCCTTATTTGGTGGGTTCAGAGGCTGGGGGAAACGCCTGGCATCTGATGCCAAACTCTGCCCACCATTTGCCCTAATTTTCCCACAAAAGGACCTGCTGAAGCCAATTTGGAGAAGGACTCCGAGTCCCCCATATAAAAATCACATTTGGCCAGTCCAGATGGCCGAGGTTATAAATTTTATTCTATTTTTATTATTCTTCTCCCCCCCCCACCCAATTTATATACCATCCCTTCCTCTCTGCCATTTGAAATAATGGCTTCCTTCATCTTCCTTCTCGTAATATATAAGGCCTCGTGTTGCTGCAATGGGATTGCCAAGCTCATTTGTCACATAGGCCTTGCTCCGTGTGTTTGTGTGTGTGTGTGTGCGTGTGTGTGTTGTGCCTCTGTTTTTGTGTAGAGCCATTGAGCCGCATTCAAACCTTCCTCTAATTGCAACCCTAAAAACCTCACATTTTGCAGCTCGGATCCCAGGTTTTTCCTTTCGAAATGGCGGATGAAGGCGCAGGGGATGACTTGGGAAGGGAGGGCGCAGGGGCCCCGGGGGGCCCCGTTAACTTAAAACGAGTTGCCGCCTGTGCGGAGGAGCAGCTTCCCCCCCCCTCCGTGTCTTGTGGGGAGGGGGGGGGGAGAGGGAAGAAAACCGGTGCCAGGCCTCTCTTCCAATTAAAATGGTTGTGATCGATCTCGGGTGTCGGTGGGGATGTTTGGAACCTAATAAATGGCTGTGTTTTCCTTTCCTGAAATTATTTTTGAAAAAAAGAAATGAAGAAAAGGCTTGCTTAAAAGTTTGATGGCTTATTTTTCCGTGGAGGGGAGGTTTTAGAGATCGTTTGCATTCCAGACTGAGAGATAGTCGGCCGTTTCCTCCTGAAGGTGTCCAAGAGGCAATGGGTCCATGGTTCTTTTTCTTTCTTTTTCAAATTATACTTTCCT